CATGGCGAGAGTGGATAAATCAATTATTGTTGATAGAGACAGTAGTATGAGATTTGTGGGGCATGGAGGAAAGATGAGCCAACCTTCCGCTATTGGCCCTTTGGGTTTCGGGCCTGAGATGTAGAAGCCCGGTTTGTCTGGGCATATTTTGGACAGGGCAGGATTGCAGGTGGGGGACTTCACAGGCTTTCAATCCGCCCTACTGCCATGCTTGGAAATAACTCGGAGAGAAGCTATATAACCCAGTTATTACCCCAATATAACCCCAATATAACCCTAATATTATAGTAGTTTCCATTTTCTTTTCCATCATCCCAATATAATTGCCTTTGGCAATTTGAGGCTTATGCAGCTGTAGCGTGCACCAGAGAGTGCACGTAGAGGTCCCGCACCATGGTTGAGGGCGATGGCTGCCATCGGATCGCGGCAAAGCACCGTAAGGCCCGTTTAAGAATACTGGGTAGGCCTTTGGGTTACTTAAATATATTCCTTGGGTTATTCCCCCTTACAGTAACTGTTACCACAAGAGGTAATAGGAATTATAATAGCCCCTTTAAAAGGCCCCCTTTACGGACAGTTACTGGAAAAAACTGACCCAATATATTCCCTTGTTGCTTTTATAGGGACCCATCTATACTAATATTTTTCAATTGTCTCTAAAGGCCAACCCAGAATAGTGGCCATGTCGCCAAAGTCCCCTTTGCCCCAGCTTTCCAAGACCTCGATGTTCAGTAAACGTATAGCTTCTTGAACACTTGGAGGGTGCTGCTTGAGCTTGATGTCAGGGAAGGGGATGACTCCCTGTTGGCAGGAGCTTGTGGGCCGGAAGATGGCTGCAAAGTCCCCCAACGGCCGACTGCAGGTCAGTGTTAAGTAAGACTTTGCGTGTTCAAGCGGCGCCGAAATTTTTGCTGTGGCTATGATGGAGCCAGGTTGGGAGTTGTCAGATATGGTGACTTTTGTGTCAAAAATGACCCAGGATTCCGCGGCGGCGCGCAGGCAATCGTGAAGTGCGGAGGTGTTCTGCTGAAGATTGAAGTCCATGGAAAGAACATGTTCTACTTCTTCGGAAAGGCAGGGGGAGACCCAAGTGTCTCGGGAGCACATCTGAAGCTGAATTGTTTCTGGCATCATGACTTCAACTGACACCCAGAGATAGCCATTTTTCTTGAGGGGAACTGCGCAAGTGAGGCATTGTGGTTCATGTCCACTTTGGGATGGCTGGTGCCTTTGCCGTCTACAAAGAACAGGACACCGCCGCTTTCTGGTTGAATTTATTTCAAATACTTGCACGACTTGTCATTTTGATTACATCATTGCTGCTTCTGCTTCCGATCTCTAATTCTTACGAATGACAATAATGACAGCTACTACCACCACCATCACCACCACGACATTTGTTACTAGTACTACTTCTGCTACTACTACCAGCACTGCCTCTGTGCTAGTGCTACGGCAACTACCGCCAACACTATACCACTATTCCAGTATACCACTCTACCACTGTACCACTACCACTACTCCTCCTCGCCCTGCTCCTGCTGCTGCTTCTGCGACGACTATACAACTAGGGCAATGACCACGACCACGACGACAACAATGACGACGCCAGCACCACAACCACGACCAGCACGACGACTAACAGCAGCAGCTACTAGCTAGTGACAGCAACAAAAACACCAACCAGAGCCATCGCCAACATCAACAAAAGAAACGGCGACCATGAGGAGTACTGATGTTCCATTCAGAGCCCCGGGGTGGGCGTTCAGAAGGTACGCGGGATAGGATTTTGCGCAGGCATGTATGAAGCTCGCAACCTGTAAGTTCTTGCATGTTTATACTTTGAATAGCTTTTACTATGCTCGCCATGCCATCACTTTCCATTTTGTACCTCTGCGCAGTGCACTACAAGCTCCATGAAATACCAAACATGCGGCAGCCGCTACCATTCCATGAAAAGAAGGGTTTCTCAAGTCATGCAAAGGGTTGGAGGCATTCCAACTGTTGAACATGGGGTGCCTCCAAATTAGCACTACTGCGGCTGTTGCTGCTACTGCTACGACTTCTACTGCTGCTGCTACTGCTACTCCTGCTGCTGTTGCTACTACTTCTACTACTACTACTACTACTACTACTTCTACTACTACTACTACTACTCCTCCTACGATTACTACTGCTACTACTACAACAACAACTACTACAACAACAACTACTATTACAACAACAACAACAACAACAACTACTACTACTACTACTACTACTACCACTACAACAACAACAACAACTACTACTACTACTACTGCTACTACTACTACCACCCTACTACTACTACTACTACTTCTACTACTACTACTACTACTACCACCCTACTACTACTACTACTACTTCTTCTACTACTACTACTACTACTATTACTGCTTCTTCTACTACCACCACCACCACCACCACCAGCACCACCAGCACCACCAGCACCACCAGCACCACCACCACTACCACCACC